TAACAAGAAATATGCTATGTATTTTAATCATAATAAATCATTGCAAAGAGGGCAAGGTTCATCAAAAGCACGAGAACAGAACTGCCAAGTTTCTATTGGAAGCTATTGCCATAAGAAGGCTCAACGTGCCTTAATCTTGGAATGATGTCAGTAGGAAGTCTTTTCATCCATTTACAGTACCTTAATTTTATTGTTATTTTCTCTGTTTTGTTTTGCTTTGTCTCATTTTGTTCTCTTTTTCTTCTTATATTTGTAAATTTTAAGTGGCAGATCTGTATCGTGGTTTTATTGCTCTTATTGTATTTGAGCCTGCTTTCATGGGCTGTTTTCTATTGTTGTCGCTACTTCACTGATCACTGACTGTAAATCACTACAATTTCAACTGTACTTTTATGTGCAGATGATATGGCATTGTTGGGTCAAGAACACAAATGATTTGCAATGAATATTAATTATATAAGGTATTTGATATTAATGAATCAAAAAGTCCAAGGCAGTTGTTTTTGACAGAAAAGAGGGGGTAGACGTTTACAAATTATACATAAATGGCAAGAAACTAAAGATGAGGAAATGGATGGAGATATTTTAAATCTTGGTAGAAAGGGTACCATGTGGTCTCATGTGATAAATGAATGTTATCAAAAGAAGCTAATATGGCTGTGTATGAAAGTGTTTCTGCTGATTTTGTTGCATGGAAATGAAAGTAAAGTATGTAGAAGAAACATAAAAGTAGGTTGAACTCAGCTGAATAGAGAATTTAAGTGTGTATGTACATATAAAAACAGTAACAGAGTAAAAGGTGAAGGGTTAAAAGGAACTGAGGAGTTTAAATTCAGAAATGCTCACCCATCACCATACTGACTCAATCAGTTATTTAAATTTAACGAAGATGCAGGGTCAATAATTAACTGGTGCTAAATAAATGTGGTAGAATACAAAAATGAGTAACCAGTACAAAGAAGTACACTGAGATAGAGAGAATGAATCAAGATTGACTGCAAAACAAATTTATGAAGGATGACTAAATGTAGGAAGATTAAGAGGAAGGGGACCAAAAATTTGTGGTTGAACAGAGTTGATAAAATCCTGAAAAATAAAGAGATGAAAGGCTTGAACAACAGTGTATGAAGGCATTTATGGTCTGGTGGAAGCAAGGATGAGTTGTAGTAAATTGTACATTTAACTATATCTTCTTTTCCCCTGTCTCACATTTTTAATTTCTTATTAGTAATTTCTTACTATTTCTTACTTCTTTTCTTCACTTTGCATAATGTTGCTTACCCAAACAGTGAATCATGCAATGGATGTGTGTGTGTGTGTGTGTGTGTGTGTACACTTTTCATGTCTCACAATGACAACAGTTGTAGGTAATTCTAGTGAACAACCATATGTGTTTTGAAATACATAGATGAGTCCAGAAAGGGTCACAGCACTGCAAATAATTCCAATTTACATATTATCCAAAATGCAATGCATTTCTGCCACCTATTAAGAAACATATATGTAAACTGCTTATTTTCCATTGCTGTTTTCTGCTGGACGTTTTTGCAGTTATTCAAGTTTCCCTTCCTGTTTGAAGCACAAAAACCCTAGGTTCATCCACTGATATTTTCCTCAACACCTAGCAGAGTTTTGGGGCAATAGAACAAAAAGGATGATTGATTCCAATGGCAATGAGTTAAGTACACTTATAAATCAGTGGGACTGCAAGTGGCGTAATTCTGGCCAAATAGTTAATCTATTTGCAATCTCATTGATTGCAGCAGAGGAGTTAAACATATCCTTTCACTCATCCCCACAGAAATCAATGCAGTCTAAAAATGCTTAAGCAGGTTGGTTAAACGATACTCCTTGATTTAATTACAGCCTAGCCATGTCACAAGATTTATAACAGGATTGAATCCTATAGATTCTCACATTTTGTCAACACATATTTGCACAAATGGCCCCTTGAACAAAGCTCTGCGCACAGAATGCAAACATTTGAATTATACAGAATGGCTCATGTCACTAATGTGGTATGCACAGGTGTATGTACCAAAAATAACTCAGTTCAAAAACTGGGGAGGTAACTGGAGTTATTTGTGGCAGCATTCCAATTATTAAATATATTATGCAAGCAAGTCACAGTGACATTAGGAGCTAGAGAAAATGACTGTTGAACCAGCACCATGGTTAAGATGCTGACCTTGGATCAGAGAGACTTAGGTTTGAATCTCAACCACTCTCTCTCAACCTATCTCATAATACCATTGAAGGTGAGATAATATGAGGGTAGAACCCATTTGCGCTGCCTTGAGCTCTCAGAGAGAATGGTGGGATACAAATACAATAAAAGAATAATGAATAATTTGCGCATTTCCTCCCTTCTCGACCAGAGTTCAAATTTGGGGGCTGAACTATACTGTTGTCCTGAATTGCCCCCATGGCTTGCAACATATGGACCCCGAAGGTGCAAACTGGGGAGTCTGCAGGCAAGCAGCAAAAAAGGCAAGATGGCAGCTTTTATCACATATTTGCAGCAGCAATCTTGACTTTTTTGACCTCCCACCCACTCCATGGTTCCTTGATGGCAACAAGGAAAAGATTCTGCTGTACAGGAATCACAGCCACAGAGCAACGTGTCCATGAAAGGGTCAAATCCTCTCACAGTTGTTTCTTATCTTTTCCCATTGGTAGCTACAGAAATCATCGTTAACCATCTTGTAAGATGATGATATCAAATAATTAATTCACCTTTATTATGATACCGGGTTGATGACAATAACTCCAGGAGAAAATGTAAGATAAACACATGTAGCCTGCATCGCTTAACCTACCTCTGTCATAACCATGTCCTGACATTTCTTGACATATTTGCCATCGGCCTTCACAATGGTGTGCAGAAAACGCAGATATTCAACATGGCGGCCGTGTGTCTCAATGCAGTGGACAAAATGCTGTACCACCCGCTCACTAATTTCGTTGCACAAGTGGTAATTGTTTGTGAATATGTGCCGCATGGTTTCAGACTCAAGAAGCTAATTCAAAAATGGAGAACAAACAGCCATTTGTATGATAATGTAAGTGGTATTTACATGTAATTTTGGCTAACATAAAGAACCCTAATCCTAACCTGAATTACCTCCTCCCTCTTGTATCTTACTCTTTAAGTCCAGAATTTAATCTTACTCAAAACTCTAGTTCTCAGTATCCCCATCATGAATCGAAGCTGGTTAACAGAGAATCTTTGCAACAGATGGACCCAAGTTATAGGACAATATCCCCAAATTGTAGTTAAGAGATCAGACCTATTATTCTATCCTGATCTTTCTAATCAGAAAGGAGAGTCTTGGATTTTTAAAGGCAAAATCATGAACTTTTTTTGGATACAAATACCATCACCTCCAGTGAGAAACTCAGCCACAAATTAAATACTGACCCCAGGGGTTAAGAATAGGTTGAGGTGTTTATGGAGAAGTATTTGATTCTGAGGATTTCCACGACAGAAGTTCTGAAGAAACAGGTGAGCTAAGGTCATAATTTCATTCATCTTTTTGTCAGTCTTCAGTTGTAGTAATTATTTCAAATGCGAGATGAACCAACAAAAGAAAAAAAAATTAGACATTAATATTAATAGAGGCTATTTCATACATCACATGTTTGGTAGTCAGACAACACTTAAAAAGCCCACTGTAAACAGTCCATGCCTGTTTCACGTGCATACATTCCCAAAGCAACCTTGCATTTCACCTCTCTTTTTAATATCTTCCCCTTCCACCCTCTCTTCTTCTGTGACCTAAATGGAAACAATGGCATCCCTAAACCTTCTCAGGATTAAAAATGCAGTGCAAGAGTTAGATGTATTGCCTTGTGAGCCATGAAGGTGCTCAGTTCATTTTGTTGCACTTCTTTATTTATGATAGCTATCGAACAGTCCTGTGTAAACTATTTATATATTGGCTAGATATAGAGCCCAACTCTTGTCCAAGAACTCAGGTAAGGATGGCCCTTCATTTTATCCCACAACAGTAACCAGTGAAGTTGGTTGGGCTAAAAGCTCATCCACAGGGTTTCCCTGAACTTGAATCTGGGTGTCCCCAGACCTAGTCAAAATCTTCCCCATTATACCACACTGGCTGCCATTCTCCATCATTCAATGAGGCATTTCCTTCATGAGCAAAGCACTTCTCTGGATCCACTTCATAAGGTATGAAGCTGCTAAAACTGCACAGCTATTTAGAGGACCTCATGAGTTCCTCTTGTGATAGAGGGCATATGCAGAAGACACTTCCACTATGATAGCTGGTGAAGCAAAGGGAGAGCTCAGAAGGACCTCAAAGTGGTGGCAATGAGCTTTCCATCGCTGAATGATTTGTACAGGCCTATCATCTAACCCAGTGTTTTTCAACCTTGGCAATTTTAAGATACGTGGACTTCAACTTCCAGAATCCCCCAGCCAGCCATGCTAGCTGGGGAATTCTGGGAGTTGAAGTCCACATATCTTAAAGTTGCTAAGGTTGAGAAACACTGATCTAACCAATTCTATTTTTCAGCCTTTAAACCAGGGGTCTTCAAACTTTGTGATACCATTATAAAATGAATTGTTGCACCCCCCC